GAGGCCTCCCCCGTGCGCCGGGCGGTGCGTTGTGACCGCGGGCACGGGCGGCGGCGCCCCTCGGCACAAGCATCCTGTCGGGAGGGATCAGCTGCCTTCCGGCCACCTCGACTCGCTCCAGCCGTTTCTTCGCCGTTGCTAGAGCGGCGGAAGGGGCAGTGTGAAAGCTCCTGCGGTTGGAAGAGGTTGAGATAGCAGGAGAGGTCGTGAGCCCATCCCTTCGTGCTCGAGTTTTGAGAAAATTATGGCTGGGGCAAAGCTGTTACGGACAGTTTATAGTGGTTTGCACTCTCAAACTCGCAGGTAGAGGCTTTGTTGAGTCACAAAAACTAGATTTTTAGGCAGACTTGACTCCTGTACAAGGGTTTAGGAAAACTTATTAATGAGAAGCATATTAAGATAGCTCTCAAGACTAGATGAGATTGCATAGGGTACTTTTTTTTCGGAAATGTAATCTGCTCTTTATTGAGCTTCGCTAGAGATCTGCTGAAGTGCCTTGGTTTCATCATCTCTTCCTGCTGCCACCTAGACTATGATGGATGAGTGGTGGTACCTGATGCTGTAACTGATTACAGGAACAGAACTCAGGATTTAGGTTTGAGGTTGACTGTTGAATTTGATGATTTAAGAGAAGGTGACCATTATATCTTAGTTAATAAAGTTCCCAAATACCTGGCAGTGTTAAAAAATTGAGAACTAAATTTTACGTAGATGTGTGTTTTTGTGTTGTGGTTGATTCTTGGGGTTTTTCTGGTTGAGTGTTTTTTTTTGATTTTGAGTGATAGATATTCACAGTTGTCACAAAACCACTGTTGAAACATGAGGCTGTTCTCTGGAATGTAACTTTTGGTCACTGCCAGTAAACAGATCAAACTTGTACCACTGTTAGTGGGTTTCATATCTTATTGTCTGGCTCAAGCTGTTTAGTTGCTCAGTTTTGTCTCCTTCTAAGGTTTATCTCTTTCCCAGAGGTAAGGACCATAAGATGACTTTCTGTGCTTCTGTAGTTTGATATCCATTGCTCTTGCTGGACTAAGCAAATGAATGTAAATGTACAAGCAGCACAGATGGCACAGCGTTACTACCTCGTTAGTCCAGTGGGTGCAATTTATTCATTTTTTTAATATGTGAAACCCTTCCTAACTAAAGGCTGTGTTTTCGGAAGTATCTTATGCTAAGTTATACAGGCACGACTTTACATTAGAAGTTTCTTGAACAGTTTCCAAAACATGGCCCAGACCATTCAGTGCATCATAGTATTAACAGAGACTAAACCTGCCTGTTATGACTTGTACAATGTAATGTGAAGTATTTATACTTTTTATCTACTGTAATTCTTCTGGTTTCAGCCTATACTTCACCTATTTCAATTATAAAAGCATGATTTTTTTTTTTCCTAAAGAAATGGTCAGGTGGATTTATCAGATGAAATCCTATTTTCTCTAAAATTAGTAGGTCTGATGCTTTACTCAAATAAGGCTAATTCTGGCTCGTTACTTCATTCACTGTTGTACACAGAGATAACACTAAGTGTAAACACTTGGAACTTTTTCATCATAAATTGACATCAGTCCAGTTAACCAGAGATTTGTTTTTCTGAACATGTTCTGATTTATCACCTTCTTTCTAATAGTGTTTCCCAGAGCTGAGTGCAGCCTTTCAGATATAGCACAGCCTTGTGGGATCTGTATGCAGGCTGACAGGTCCCTTGAAGTGAAGGAGTTGTGCCTTCTGTATTCTCTGCAGCTGCCTCCCAAGCCTGGTTGAGAGAAACTTAGAAAATAGTAGCACAAGCATTGGCAAATATTTAGTCTTCTCTCTCTGGTACGATGTTATCATATGGCAGGCTTCTGAGCAGACTTAAAAAGCTGTCCATGTGGAGCTACAGTTGGCAGTAGTCTGCTTTTGTTACCTCCTCTTGATTAGGATAGAATCGTACGTGAGAAAATTGCAGGTAGTGGCTTGCTGGGAGCACCGCCTTGCAGCGCATGCGAAGTAAACATTTTGGTTTACTTTGAATAGGCCGTACCATGAAAACTATATGAATTGTTTCAGAGAACAGTTATTAGCAGGTACTGTTTGTCTCTATTTTGGGTAGTGGAACTCTTAATCAATAATTCAGAGTTTAACTTGGATGAGAGTTTTTACTGAGGTAAGAAAAAGACTGAAGTTATGCACAACACTTGACTGCAGCTTGAAAGCAAACTACCTTTATTGTCAGCTGTCTTCATAAATACTGAGATGTCAGGAGTTCATATTTATTTGTTGCAGTGTTGTTGGAGGCCAGGCATCTCAGATAGCCTGTGGTTAGTGAATGCAATGAGGAGAACTTCAGCGTTGTTAAATGATGCGCAGTTGCATTTCATAGGCTATTTTTAGTTGGAGACATAATGGGTTTTTTTTATACGTCAGAAGAACGTTGTATATGCACGTAGGATTTAAAAGTGTGGAATTAGCAGGGGAAATCAGTAGCACTCGTTGTAGACAGACTGAGAAGGACGTAACCATGGAATATCCTTTTATGATCCAGATGCTTGGTACAGCATGTCATGTATCTGATACAAAGCAAGGTAATTAAGGTCTTTTCTTTAATTAAAACCAGAAAACCTAACTGCTTTTGCCTGAATATTGAATTGATTGACCTGTAAGGGAGTTACTTTGCTTAATTTCACTCCCTTTTTTTAAGGAAGCATCCAAGTTAGTAACTTCAGTCTTGCTTTTCAGGAGTCTAACAGAAATTATAGTAACTTTGAGCAAACTGTCTGAGAAACTGTTAGAACTGTGCTGTGACTCTGATTAGAATTGCATTTCTGACTAGATACTTTTCTAAGTTATAAAATTAATACTTAGTCATGAGAATGACAACATTTTGAAATTTTCACTACAGGTGAAGCTTGAATTTGTCCTCTTTCAGGACTTGCTGCAAGTGCTTCCTGTAAATTTCAAAACCAAGGATGAAAGGAACCTGGCTTGCATAACATTTGGTCTGGGCTTAGTAAGGGAAGATAGCAACATGGATTGCTTGCATTAGATAAAACTAAAGCGAAGAGGTGTACAAGACTCTTAGAAACAACATTAAACAGGGTCTGCCTTGCTTTGACCCAATAGCAATGCTGAGGTCTTTGTGTTTGCATTTCAGTGAATGACTCAGCTTTTCATGCTTGTACCATCAACCATAGTCGAACACTAAATGTATCTTCCCAGGTAAATAGAAGCAGTTAACTTGAAAGCCTCACTTCTACTCTGATTATATTAGTGTTATAACATGTAAACTACTGAGTTTATTTATTCATTTGACAGCTCAAGGGAAACGATTAAATTAGTGTATTTGTGATACATGGAACTATATAAAGACTATGCGAATACATAAATGTTTTAAAAAGTTGATGACTTAAAAGAAACAATCTTCAAATTTTTAGAACTATTATGTCATTAATTTATTTTAAAAAGAGTATGCTTGCATTTGCATATGTATTGTGTAATAGTTCCGCTGCAAAAGAGAATAGCAACATACGTGAGTGTCCTTTCTAACACGCACAATCCTCTAGTTGACTTTGAAAGAACTCTAGTAGGAGGTCTTTGGCATATCTTTATCCCAGCCCCAGTACAATTCAACAATCTTGACAAAAACATTAGGTTTCATCAGGGTCACTCTGTGTCCTGAGACCTACTGCTCTTTTGAAAGCCAGAGCCTAAAATTTGTTGTTTTTTTTTTCCTCTCTCAAATGTGACCTTAGCATACTACTTAATTTAACCACTACATACTATGCTAGGTTAGCAGTCCGTAACCTTCCATGTGGTAGGTCAGCAGTGCCTCCTAAACTGCGAGGTATGTAGTCATCTTAATTTGCAGAAGCTGCAGATAGTGTTGAATCAGCAATGCAGTACTCACTGTGTGAGTTTGATTTCAAGAACTATGATTTGATTTGGTTTTTAACATAGCCTGCTATTGGTCTACAGTGCCAGTCCCTGAATCCTGAAAGGCATTATGCTTAATAGCAAGTGAAGTCTGAATGAAAGAAAACGGAGCAGAAGATGTTAAAATAAATGTGTGTTTTGGGTTATTTGTTTGTAACATGGAATTTGATATTCCTTTATCCATCCCTCCCCCAAGGACTTGTGATCTGATTTAATAAGGCTAAATCTTGGATATGTTTCTGTCTTCCTAGAACCAACAGCCACCATGTCGAGCAAAAGGGCAAAGACGAAGACCACCAAGAAGCGCCCTCAGCGCGCCACTTCCAATGTATTTGCAATGTTCGATCAGTCGCAGATTCAGGAATTCAAGGAGGCCTTCAACATGATCGACCAGAACAGGGATGGCTTCATTGACAAAGAGGACTTGCACGACATGCTTGCCTCCCTTGGTAATGTCACTTTTCTGTTTCTGCTTGCCAAACAAAAAGGCACTGTTATAGTTAGAACAATTGAGTTTGGGACAGCTTATGAGAGGTGTCTCAGTTTGTATGCTGCTATTCAGCTGACTTTTTGTTTTAGTTTGAAAGCTAAACCGGATATGTATCCCTTGATTTGTAGGAAAGAATCCAACGGATGAATACCTAGATGCCATGATGAATGAGGCTCCAGGCCCCATAAACTTCACAATGTTCCTCACAATGTTTGGTGAGAAGTTAAATGGCACTGATCCGGAAGATGTAATCAGGAATGCTTTTGCTTGCTTTGACGAAGAAGCAACAGGTATGGGGGTTAAATAACAGTGTACGTGTATTACTCCTACTTACTTTTGCAACAATAAATACTTTTGTAACAATAAATACTTGTATTCATAGAAGTGGCAATGTGTTTTTTGGCTCTGAAAATTATGATTTCAGCAAACTAAAATCATGCCTGTATCCTCATCAGCTGGAAGTACCTTTTCAAACACTGTAAAACTTAAAATCCCAAACTTCTAGCACTTCAGTTCTGCTATTCAAGACAGGAGAAAGTAAAAAAAGTTGTTGATTAGGAGCTAGGGTCTTAAAACTTTCCTAACTTAAAATTCAGCACCAGGGCAACTTTTCTAAGGGGATCCTTGCTTTCAAAGCTGTTGTGCTTTTATGAAGAACTTGTTTGCTGTCAGCAACTTGTATCCACTTTCCCTCTGTTAAGCTGCACTTAAAGGAGAAGAAAATGAATACAAGGAAAAACCTTACGTGGCTTACAAGAGTGCTGATAGAAGGAATGACAAGTTGTATAAGGCTGCTTGTTTCATAAACAATGCCAAAAACATGTTCTTTGCAACCAGTCGAGTAAATCTGAGTTTTGTCACTCATTTAAGATCAGTTTAAAGTCTTTGAAATATTTCAGATTTCCCGGTGTTTTCTGTACTTGTTGAACATTGGTTGTCAAGTTTCATCCTTTTTTTTTTTTAAGTGATTTTAATTAGGAATGTTTAAGACAAACGGTTCCCCTTTGTGTAAAATACACAGTTGTTAGAAGGATCTCAGTACTACTGGGAGTATAGCCCTGCTGTTGGGAAGAAGGTCCCATATGTACACTGACAAATATGTATATTCTTTGAAACAACATAGGCAAATAACAAAAATGGCCTTCACTTGAAGTAGTGAGACCATGCAAATTAACTAATGGGCTCAACTTGATTCAATGCTTGTAATTATTTGGCAATTATAGTAATAGGCTTTAATGGCTTTGTTTTCATTTGGCAACAAAGACTGTAGGTATCTTTAATTGAAACAGAGTTCAAAAAAATAAATTATTATCCGTTGATTAGCAGATAAATGTAAAAACTCCTTTTTTGTGTTTCTCTCTGTACATCTCGTTCTAGGGTTCATCCAAGAAGACTACCTGCGGGAGCTGCTGACGACGATGGGAGACAGGTTCACAGATGAAGAGGTAGATGAGCTGTACAGAGAGGCACCCATCGACAAAAAGGGGAATTTCAACTACATTGAGTTCACGCGCATCCTGAAACATGGCGCTAAAGACAAGGATGACTGAGCAAAGCTCCAGATACCTGCAGATATCTCTACTTTACACTTATGTTTATTTTTGAGGGTTTATTCCTGATAGAACCTGTTGCATGCATTTAGCTTTACAGCTTTTGCCTTTCTCAATGTATTTATCTATTCCAGGCCATTTAGGCACATTTGCACCTGTGTAATCAGACTGGAAGAGGGAAAAATATTGTGAGGAAAAGGATATGGGGACAAAGATCCCTGGACTTTGATAGTCCAGGAAAATAATCTCAATGTTACTGGTTTAGCTGGATTTTTACATTTTTGTAATAAATGACACTTTGAAATAAAGATTGCTATATAGATAAAATACCTCAAATTCTTTTCTGAAGAATGACATTTCTAATATGCATTTACAAATGCAGGTGTTAACTGTATTTTATTTGCAGTTGCAAACAAGCTGGAAAACTCATTTTTGTAATGTTTGGTTTGATGTCATGCAGTTCTGAAATGCTCCTAGCAGCGTGAGCTGGTGTCTTTAAAACATAGCTGTACAAATCTTGTACCTCAGCTTTTTGAAGTGGGGTCTGACTGGTGTAAGTAGCTAGCCAGAGAAATGCTTAAGGAAGTTTGTTACAGTTGCCTAAAGGCCAGCAAAGAACATCTATTATTCTTAAGGAGATACCATGCCCAACTCTTATTTCCTTTTAATACTGATAGGATATTAGCAATATTTTCATGTCAAAGTTGCGTTCTTGTTTGCTAAATTCTTATGCTGGCAATAAGTGGGAATTAGGCTTTTTTTTTTTCCTTTCTGCTGAAGGAAGCTTGTGGAAAGGAATCTCTTTGAGCTACAGTGTTTGTGCTGGCACTAATTAACAGCAATATATGGCCAGAAAACCTACATAAAGCTTTAGTGTTCTGCCACTAATGCATTTGCCTGTGGGAGTGTGAGAAGAGTTGTTCTGAAAATTAACTTGGCAAAAGCCTGTACATGCTAAAGTCTGTCTCATGTTTTAAAGGATCATATGTTTTCCTCGGCTGCATTGATAAGATGGCTTTTAAGCAAGCAGGAATCATGCATTCAAGAACAGCTCTGCTGCTGATGTTGTCTCAAATACCAAGAAAAGAGGAAGGTTGTTCTCTTAGTTCTTAGCATGACTTTGTCCTTCCATGTGTCCCATTCTCTTGGCTCCTGCAAGCTAAAAAGCATCAGGGGAATTTTATTTTACCTACATATTTATCAGTTTAAGTGATAATCCTCTTACCCAGAAACCATGCCCTGAGCTACTGGACATGACTTCAAAAAAGGTCCCAAGGAATAGGAATTTTACTTTTGCTAAAGGGTGTGTAAAAGCTGGGACAGCGTAAGCTGTGAGGAGGGTTTGTCTCATGTCCCATGTGGTAGCACAAAAGCTTGGTTACTTCATCTTGCTTCTGTCCCTAGTATGGCAGTTATGAAGATATTCTGTATTTAGCTGTGTAAATAGGTTAACTTGACAAAGTACATTCAGGTATACTTTTTTTTTTAATTCCTAGGTGCCTTATTCTACTTCTGGGTTTAAATAAACTGAGTTTTCAGCTATTCTTTTCCCACTTTTGTGTGCTATCTGCTAACTGGAACTTAGGCTCAATTTTTCTTTTTCTCCTATGTATGCCATGTTCTTGGCTACATACTACTTCAGACTGCCACACCTGCTCCTGTTCTCAAAAGTTTGGTTTTAAACTATCTTAGTGCTCTTCAGTATGGTTGCTGAGGCATTTCTACAGGGGATGCCTGCGAGGTTGTAGCAAGGGCTGATTTTTTTTTTTTTTTTTGAAAGGCAGCTTACAAGCAAGTATGGAAGCTTTCACCTACAACATCCATATGGCAAAGTACATGCAAGCAGCCTGCATTAAGGATAGGTGTTAGGCTGTCTTGATTACTTTTTCCCTTTGACCATCTAAGTGGTGTAAGATTCAGAGGATCAGTTTTCTTCTGTTATGAACACTGGGTCTCCAAACTATTCTTTTCCTGATCTTGTCTTTTCATTAAATTTTAGGTGCTGTTATGTTAGTTACACTGAGTAATTGGCAGACAAGTAAGTTGGATTTTTCTTGCTGGAAATAAGTTTTGAAGGAGTGATTTTTAAATCCTAAATATGAGTTCCATAAAAGAGAATCCGGTATCCTCCTTGAGAGGAAATTGTGCACTTCAAAATTTTCTGTACTGCTCCTCTCAACTTTTGAACAGCTACCTGAAACTGGGATGTAGCTGCTTGTTCCTTTGCTTTGTCACATTGTGTGTGTGTGCTGTGTTCTTGGCTGCTCTCTCTGATCAGTGGCTGGGAACAGGGAACTGTATTAATTGTTAAGTTACCTACTCAGGAAGACACATTATTGAGGAAGAATTTCTAAGGATGTTCAAGTATAGCTAATGATGACCTTCCAAGTTCAGGTTTCCCCAGTATCTGTACTGTAATGTAGGAGACCAGTTAGCCTGCAAGTGGGCACAAAACCCTTAACCACTGGAAGGCGTTGAGATCTATAGACCCAGCCAAGAAACCATATAAGAGCATCAGATGCATTTTGTAGCTAGGCAGCGAGGAATGTCCAGACAGCTGAGGTTTCATGCCAAGGGCTGTAGGGATGTGTCATCAATAATCCAGTTCCAAAAATAAAAATAACTTTGGTCACTGAAACAGCTTAAGATTCTGATGACTTAGGCTTAGTGTTTTGCAGTCAAAATCTTGGAACCTAATCTTTTCTCCCTTGGGGTTCATATAGAATAGTTTCCAAGCTCCACGCCAGACTAAGCTTATGATGAAAAATTATTTTTATAGGCTGATGCACACATTTAATAGTCTTACCTCTGCAGTGATATGTAATGCCCCGTGAAGCACTATTGAAAAGCAGTGGTTTATTTTACATGACCCATTTACCCGGTTCTAAGGCTGCATCCACAGAGGTCGAATTGAAGCCGAAGAGCTATTGCAGCTGCGTGAGAAACCTCCAAAGAGGACTACGCTTGGGTGAAGTGCTGCCAGTATATGCTCGCCTGCTGCTTTTTTTTCCCCCTCCTCTGACTGTTGCTGGAGATACTGGTAATATGCAACGTTTTAAGCATTCAGCATACACTTGTTTCTGCTCTTTACGCCGCATTACTTAGGCAAATAGAACCATCTTTTATCACATAGTGATCAGATGACTGGAGCGTTTCACAACATGAGGTCAGCTTAATATACTAGCTCAGCAACTAACTGATGTCAGAGACGGTGTTCGTACACTCTGAAGCACAGATCCATTTCACCACTGACCTAAGAACTATCTTTAGATGGCTTGTTTCTAGGATCACTGTCATATGTTGAGAAACAAAATGTAGCACAGGGGGCCCATCATGGCACAGAACACCAGTATTTGTACGCATTTGTGTCCTGCTCAGTGCCTTTGTTCCAAAAGCTGGAAAATATCTGAAATCTTGCCATCACATGTTTCTTGTGGCCATGGCCTTTTCTTGTCTGGAATGTTACTAATCTATTATTTGGTATGTTTCTGGGGAGTTTCAAATGGCAACTAATAGCTCTTTTACCATACTGAAGGCATCCAGACAATGTAAGTCCAAATAACGAGAGAGTAACAATCAAAGTAGAGGCAGGAACGTTTTAGATTTCAGCAGTTAATCTGCCACTGGTATTGCCTATGTACCCATGCTCCTACTTTGGCTTGCTTACTTAATTTTTCAAACTCTACTGTCATTTTTAGGAAACCTCCTCCTTCGGAAAAATGATTTAGGATGACAGTAACTCAGAAACAGTATTACAGAAGCCAGGAACAATACAGAGGCAAAAAGAAATCAGTAAATGCCTCTCAAAATGCAGCTGAAAAATGAGTTACCATGAAATGTTGAAAAGCAGTACTGGGGAAAAAAAAAAAAAAATCCACACAGTTCATTTTTGTTGTGTTCTGAGCAGCAGCTCCACAGAAATACTGTTTTCCTAAACTTTCGATAGAAAATCTACTGTCTTTAAAAAAAAAAAAAATGGCAGCACCTTGTTGCTCTTCCTATTTTCCTCTGCAGCCCGTGGGCCTGTACTCACATCATTCCCTGTTCCCTGGGACCATTCATTTTGGGTAGGGTTGAGCTCAGTTGCTGCAGGCAGACAAAGCAGGCAGGCTGCTGTGGCAGCACATCCTTTGCAAATCCCTGCACCAGACCTTGAAAAAAAGCACCTTGCAATGCAAATTTCAACAATACAGAAATAAATACTGCCAAGGAATGTTTTCAGACCAATGTGTGATACCTGTTTTCTCCCTAGAGAACAGATCATACATCACAGACATTGCATCCCAGGGCTTAAGGGGTTGTGCAATTTGTATGAATGTAATAAATCTGCAGGAAGATGTTTACATGTTTCTCGGAAGCCTGTCATTAACAGAAGCATAGGAAATCAAACTGGCTCCTGGAAAATCCCAGCTGCTTCCTGCGTGCAGACTCCTCACGCAGCCATCATTCAGACTCTTAGTAAACCAGCCTTGCACTTTGATAAAGCTTGAAAGTCAGTCACAAATACTACGGGATTAAGCAAGCCCAGAGTAACTCGGATACATGTGCCTGAAGGAGCGGATAGTGTGTGACAGCAGCACTCAGTTTAGCCTTCTTGTAAGCTGTCACTGCTCAATTTTGCAAGGTTTATTTAATTCTTAATTTGTAATTTCCTCACTTTGACTATGTTAGGGTATCAGTGAGTACAACCTCCCTAAATAGTTAACTACATTTTGTTTTGTTTTGTTTTTCCTTATGAATGTTGCAGGCATAGCTCCTTGGGAGTTAGACGACAGCATTTCGCAATAATTTCCAGCCTCTGTCTAGCATATTCAAATGAGTGACTGTAAAATAAGGCCTGCGAGTCCCGTCTTGGTATTTGCTAAAATAGACCTGGCATCAGACACGAGTAACTTGAGCCTTGACTTAGCATTGTATCTAACAGATACTGAGGGTTTTTCTCCTTCTATCGAATTCTTCTTCCTGAACTGTGAGCTAACCATCTCTGATGCAACATATTACCACCCCACAAGAAGCATGTTGATTTTGAAATAGCTCCACCAGCCAACCAAGCTTCCATAGGCGTCAGCTAACAAGAAAACTGATAACACCTTCCTTTTCATGTCAAACACCTGACCAAATATACTCCTTGTTTTCTGGGTATGCTTTAACATACCATTTTAGGCCTTCAGCAAAGCATTGTGCACATTCCATTTCCTTCCTTCCTTGTATGTACACATTGTCAGATAGATACAAACACTAATTTAACATCTAAGCAGAGGGGACATGCGTATGTCCTTAGGTTTAGTACAATTAGGTACACCCGTTTGAAAGACTGGAGGCCTCGC